AGGATTGAGAGCTTTTGAGTCTCAGAACATTGAACCAAAATGCAACTGCAAGTTGGGAACAGCAGGTGTAGCAGCTGGAAAGGGCTGACCTGTGACACCAGCACTTGTCTAGGGTCCTCTGCCTAATGAAGACATTTCTTACCTTTCCTGTGCTGCATCCATTCCCCACCCCCTCTTGAATTCACCAGCCTCTTGCTCTGAGGTTCTTTTAATGCCATAACCAGTCTCTGCCTGCAGCCTCTGTGACTGCTGTTGGCTATCTCTGATTCTAAAAAAGCCCAGCGCGCCGGGGGCATTGCCTCTCACAGTCTGTGTGCTAGAACTCTGTTTCTTGGAGGAGCTGTTTTGTATTATCCCTTTTAAGCCTTGTGAGGAAGAGCACAGCAAAATCGGCAGTGGTGTATGCTAATGAGGAAGCCAGTCTGAGCTGGGGGAAGGGACCAGTAATATTGGAAGCCCTTCTAAATGGAGCCAACAGGATCCTAAAACATGTCATGCACAAATGATGTCTTAGGTGGCTTGAGGAGAGATAGAGAAAATGCCTTATCCTTGGAGGCTGAAGCCATCACTACATTCCACCCCGTTCTTTCTAGCGCCTGGCAACGCTCAGCTTCACCACTGCACCGTGCAGCTTGGAAATGCACTCAGCTGTTCCTCTGTCTGCCTGAACACACATGGAACACACAGACGACACAGAGGGTGACACAGAGAGAAACTGTAATAAGTAGCAGACTCTGGGTTGAGTTCTCTAGCTTCCTCCTGATTGCATGTCCAACTGGTGGCTTCTTCTGAATCCATGTCTAAGTTCCATTTAGAAGTAAATGTTTTATGACCCCAGGCTACTGTTTTATACTTGGACCATCATTTGACTTGCTGGGGTCCCAAGAAGCCTTTAAGATCAGACCTTAAAGTTTGCCTGAGCTTTTGACCTCTTTGTAATGTTTCCCAAATAATGAAATTGCCTGTGGATAAGGTTTACTGCTCTGTCAGTGGCATGTCATTAACTGCTGTCCTCACCAAGTTCAAGACTAATCTATCTGAGTGTCCATTCCTTGGGCTGACCCTCTATGTGTGACTTTCCCCATCATTGAAAAGGGAGTGAGTCTGAGTGCTGCTGTTCAGGTTGTTCAGGGAGTGTCAGAAAAAACATCTACTCCAAGGCAGCCCAAGGAGGCTCCAGCAGGAAGGCTGGTCTCTGCCCCCAGCCTGGGCACAGTGGGCAGCAATGCTGAGCCTTTACTAGAGGGAACAAGATGCTGAGTTTGCTCAAGACCTTGCAGTGAGGAGTACTCCTCCTGACTCATCCTTGTCTCTCTGTCTTTTTTTTTTTGGCCTGGGATATAAGTATCCTTCTTACTGGGCTGCCATACCAGAAGAGAGCAGAGAGCCTGGACAGGTGGCTGCTGGAGAAGCCACTTGACCGGCCTTCTCTTATTCCTTGTCTCTACTGCACATCCCTCTCCAGTTGGCTTATTTATGAGGCTCTATCTGGGGTTGTACCATGCTAGGTGACTTCTTCCTCTAAGTGTGGTGGCTGACTTATTAGAGAAGTTAAGTATGGGGGAAGGGATGTCACAAGTGGATGGCTTTTCTCTGTATTTCTTTTTCTATGAAGCATACCTAGCGGCATCTCCAGTGCTAATGCTGTAGCATAAGCTTTCTTATTCCAAGTTCTTAGCTGATGTGCAATGAAGTGCGTAATACCCTTTAATTAGTGAATGAGCCATGATTCTAGCAGAGTGACAGAAGGCTGTTTGTGGAGGGTAAAAGTCCCAGGGAAGCCAGGTGTGGGATGCTGACTACAATGTAAACAGGTGTGCTTCATGCTCATGCAAGTACACTCTTAGCCCTCACTTAGGACAATCTGATTTCAGATAAGAGTATGTTTTTTCCTTCCTGGAAAAGCAGAAGAAGGCTTTAATTTCAGATTGTCTACTTAGGAAGGTTGCCTCATTGACCTAGTGTGGAAGGAAGGAGGAGGGATTGTGTCTCTGGCTGTGATGTTGGATAATGTGAGTTCAAGATTAAGAGTAGAAAGACATAGGTTTGAAGCCCAGCTACAACATTGTCCTTCTTATTTGCTGGTTGTATCTTGCATTCTGTCTAGGCCTCGACTTGGTCATCTAACATGTGATAGTAAAACGTGACTTACTAACCCACAGGGATGTTGGGAGGCAATATATATGTCCATTGTGCCAGCTACAAAGATGGAAGGTGGAGTTGGTTTCCATATTAGTAGTCGGGCTATTGTTGTTCAGCCTAACTGCCCTGTTTGCAGGAGTCAGACCTGATGAGTAATGCTATAAAAGATGAAACCAGGGAGGGAGAGGAGGCTACTGCTTTCTCTGTTTGGAGCAGTGGGTTTAAGTGCAACCTGACTGAGATGGTTTCTTAGAATGGAGGTCACAGTTGGGTTCCATAGTTAACTCTTGCTGACAGGGGGTGGCCCCACAGCTTGTGACCAGGACATGACTGCTTTATGTTTTTTCTCTGCTCATCATGTTAGGGTTCATCTGACTCCAAGTACAGAAATACAAATGACACTTCAGTTTCACACTTAACCGACTTTCATAGTTGTATGTGTTTGTATTTTAAATTTGAGAATTCTTAGGAAATATATTTCTTTCTTTCCTTAACGAAAGAAAGGTCTCTCCACTATGAGATCTTGTTAGAGGCACTGTATAGATCTCGTTAACTGACATCACCTAATATTATAGAGATGATGGAGGTGAAGGTTTAGAAGATCACATCTTTGGAATTCTCACACAAGGCCAATGGGTCTATAGTTCATATATCTTTTTTAAAAAAATATTATTATGATACTATGAACATGTAGGTGAAGAATATGACTTTTAGGGAGAAATCTGAGCTGGAATTCCAACTCTGCCACCAATTTGCTGTATGTTTTTGGACAAGTCTCTTAACCTCAATT